CTCGAACTAATAACCAAACATGCAGCGTGTGAAGGCCAGGCGGAAGCCGTTCTACCTGGAAGGAGGCGTGGGCCTTCCCACCCTCGCCGCGAGGATCCCTTGCTACGGGGCCCATTCCTGACTTTCCCTCCCGCGCGGGGATCCGGGTTTCCGCTATCAGATGGAGGAACTGCCCGGCACAGCCCCCCGGACGGCAGTGCTCCCAGCAGGTGCAGGGGGGAGGGGAGGGGAAAGGGTTCTGGGCCTCAGCCATCCTCCAGGCGCCGGTGGAGAGCAGCGGGACGCCCGGGCTCGCCTTCGCCCGGGCTCACCAGGGAAGGCGGGGAGCTGTCGGCTCCACCTCCGTGTCCTACGAGCCTCCTCCTAACGGACAGCGAGGGCATCCACCGCCAGACGCACCCAGGATGTGAGCAAAACCGGAAGGTGCTGTGAAGGCTTTTTCAGCCTCTTTGAGGCTGAGCCTGCGGGGGCAGCCGGGCTGGAGGGTGGGGGTGGGGGTGGGGAGTGTCGCTGCTCTGCCTTTGCTTTGCCCAGGTGGAGACGGAAAGTGGGGCGAGTTCCTGTCGCTGTGCTGTGCCATCGGCCTGTGTCAGTCCTGATGGCCGCTATCGTCCACTGACCCGGGAGCCTTCGCTGTGTCAGCCGGGGGCTGCGGCCAGCAAGGTTCCACAGACACTGTCCCAGGACGTTTAATGAAGTTCCAACTAGTTCTTCTCATGGGGAAACCGCGATAAAGTGCGGTATCACCTTCCTTCACGCCAACTCCAGGGGCACAGGTTCTCCCGAGAACGTTCTGCCTCCAAGAGCAAGTTCGACCTGGGACCGTGAGGAGGCATGTCCCCGTGGAGTCTGTGATGGGACAGAGAGGGCGCCATCGCACTGGCCGTCAGACAAAGCCAGAGGCAAGCTCTCCCTGCAATCACAGGGCTAGGTGAAGAACATTCTAGAAGGAACCGGAAGTTTCTCAGCTCCTCTCCCCGGACCCCCCTGCAGGCTCAGGGCACAGGAGGCTATGAATCCCACTTCCTGAGACTTGTGGGAGCTCAGGACGGAGAGCGGGAGGCTTTCAGTCCCTATGGAAACGAGGCCTTGTTTCAGGAGGAAGTGATAAAAACTCAGCTCTCCCGTGGGGGTGGCTGGCAAACAGCCCGTGGGCCAGCGCGGCCGTGCGTCGCTGTGAGGGCCGCTCGTAGGAAGGGCCACCCACTCTGCCCGTGAACTCTCCTCTGCTGTGTTCCAGCCGCGGTGGCAGAAGCCAGTGGTTGCCATGGAGACGGTCTGATCTTTGAAGGAAAAGCCTGCCAACCCTCGGCTTCCAATACGATGAACCGACATGAGCATGGACACACGCCGGCAGTGGGGAAGGGCACCCCGGAAATCCAGGGGTGGGGGGGCACGCCAGGCGCTCTGCAGGCTGCCTGTCCTCAAACCTCGCCCTGACCGTGCAGCGTCAGTGCAGAGCGAGGAGGAGGTGCCACGTGAGGTCGAGAGAGAGTCCCACGTTACACTTCCGGGCGCCTTCCTTAGCACGACGTACGTGTGAGACACACGGGGACAAGCTCATCTGTGTGGGGGCCTGTGTTTGGGGACTAGATTCCCGGCTTTAAACCAGATTTCTGGCACGAAACCCTGTCCAAGACCCGCCCGGTGGGGACCCTCACCCCGCTGCCCGCTGACACAGGAGCGAGGCCTACGCGCCATCATTTCCTTAAAATGCAGGTGATGGGCACATCGCCTCTTAGCTACAGCGCAGGACACGCGAGGGGGGCCTCACACAGCGCCCGCAGAGGGGGCCTCACACAGCGCCCCACAGAGGGGGGGCCTCACACAGCGCCCGCAGAGGGGGCCTCACACAGCGCCCCTTGCTGGCTTTGGCTGTAAACGCCAGAGGTCAGCCCCGCTCACATGCTCACATGTCACAGGGAACGTCGGGGCCGATTCTGAAAGGTGGGCTCTGGGCACCGACTTACCTCGCAGCGTCAGGGAGGGTAGATCAGAAAATAAAACGGGAGGGACAGGGGGACGGGGCAACGGACATTCTAAACACGATAGTCATTAAAAATCAAAACGCCGATGCCACCCACGGAGCCTTCTTGCTTTAGAAACTTGGACGCGGACGAGAGGAGTTGGAGAGGCAAACGGCCTCGCTCCCAAGTACCCACGCGCTCCCTGTTTCGGCCTTGAGGACCCCCCGTGTTTGCACGGGGGGCGACTCCCCCTCCTCCGCATGCCCTGTGCGGCCTCCAGCCCCCTCGCTTGCTCATGCATCGGGCATCGGCACGCCGACCCTCTCCGACCGTCTCCTCCAGGTAGTAGTGTTAGTATCAGGGTTAGTTTCACGCGCGTCTCGTTTCATTCCGAGGACGTGAAACTGACGGGCATACTCGGCGCAGCCCCATGCAAGCAAGCAGAAAGCAAAGACCGAACACGGAGAAGGTGCTGGGCCGGCAGGCAGCGGCACTCACCCTTTTGTACAGCCTACGGTCCGCCAGGGGGCTTCAGTAAAACAACACCAGACAGCTATTAGCAGGGGCCGACAGGCTCACACACAGCTTTACTTCAACACAAGCAGACAGTTTAAAAGTGGCTCCTGGGGTGGGGGTGGGGGATGCGGGTGGTCTGGAGTGTGAGATGAGCAGGTAGAGAATCCACCCATTTGTGACTTCTTATGTATGTCCTATTGTTATTGTTTTTGTGTAATCCTCACCTGAGGATATCTTTTTTCCACTGATTTCTAGGGAGAGAGAGTTGGAGGGAGGAGAGGGAAAAAACACCTCCCGCATGAGTCCCTACCAGGGCTGGGGAATCTGCAACTGAGGTATACGTGCCCTTGACTGGGAGCTGAAGCCGTGACTCTCCAGTCGACAGGCAGACGCTCTAACCACTGAGCACACCAGCCAGGGCACCAGTTTATTTTTAAGTCTAGAAATGTTGGGGTCATGTGAAAAGCCACAGCCTTCCTCTGAGCATGCGGCTCAGTGACCCTGATGGAAACATGAGCTCCAGCTCCCAGGGGAGACTCTCGGGGTCCCCTCAGCTCCGGCACAGACCAAGGAGTGGAGTGAGTGCCTATCTCAGCTTGCGTCCAAAGTCCGAAGGGTTACTGCAGCCTCCCTGCCCATTTCTAAAAACGAACCAGGGCGGGCATGGGACCGAGAGGGCCATCCGGGCCTTTTACCCCACATAACGGACAGACTCGGAGTTCATAAGCTGACACTCTCTTCCTCTCACGCCTCCCCGTGGCCGCCCAGGCCGCTGGCGTGAAAAAGGAGCCTGGACGGGAACACCTCCGTGCCCTCTCTGCCCGGTTACGGGAGAGGCCTCTGAGAGCAGGCGCAGAGGGGGGCTCTGCTCGGCCCGCGCAGGGCGGCCTCTCACCCCGCCCGATGAGAACAGGCCGGGCCCAGCCACAGAGGGAGAGCTCAGTCACCGGGACTGCATCGCTGGCCCTCGTGGCCAAAGCCGAGGCCAAGACCAACAGGAACAGGAAAGACTAACCTGTGACACCTGGGAAGGATGGGAAAGGCCATTTCCTTGACAACCGCCTGGGAAGCAGGCTCGGTAGCCGCCCGCCCTGTGCAGGGGAGGGGGCCCGGGAGCTTGGGCTTCACAGGAAAAGGAGGAGCCGGAAGGAGGGTGCTGACCTCCTGAGCGTGTGGAAAGGGCCGGGGGCTTGGACACCCTCCTGGGGAAGGAAATAAACCCCTCTCTTCGGGTGCGAGGACTCCGCGCCGGGCAGAGGCAGGATGGGGACACAGAGGCTGGTGTGGGTGAGGCTTGTGGGACTGACCCCGTTACAGAGCATAGCTCACCCGCCACCCGGGACCTGCCTCTCCTAGCCAGACCCGCCGTGTCCGCATCCACGGGGCGTCTCCTGGCGTTTCCCCGGTAGCTAATCCTGGTGGAGAGAGCGCGGGTGGCTCCTTGCAGAGCACCCTGGCCTCTGGGCACCCGCCTTATCCAAAAGGAGGCACTTTTTAAGGATTTTATTATTGCTCATGTGTGGCTCCGACCCTGGTCCCTCCTGTCGCCACAGAAATGAGTTTTTCATTCATTTAAGTAAAATGACAGGTAGCCAGTGAGCCCCTGTGAAGGCTCAAATCAAAATGCTTCCACAGTTCGCAAGCGGATCGCTTAGGAGTAAGAACAACGAAAGTGGGAGGGAATCTCTGAGGAATCGGACTGGACTTGAACATGGACTTTTGGGGCGACTGGCCAGGCCGGGCCACGAGTGAACAGCACGGCTCCCGGTACACGGAAATGCCAGGACCATAGGGACAGCGGCCTGGACGCCACTGCTGCAGCCAGCGGCCTGGGGAGGCCTGAGCAAAGGAAAATAACTGCACCAGCCCTCGGATCCAAGGACAGAGCCTGATCCTCACTGATCAAGGTCCAGCTGGAGGAGCCACGGAGAAAGCCCGCCGCCTGGCTCCACGGGGAGGGCCGGGGTCTGTGGGGTCCACTCTCTGCTGTGGGGCCCACTGTCCGGGCCTCTAACCTCAGGGCTGCGCCCCTCCCTAGCATCTCCCCGTCCCTCGTCAGCCTGGCTTTCCTGGGGGATGCCAGAGCCTGCTGTCTGCCGTGCGTCCAGCAGAGGGCGCCAGCCACTCCCGGACAACCCACTGTGTTTCCCTGGAGAAGAGAAAGCCTGTCTGTGTTGTGGACACACAATAGCCCAGCGAGGCTCGAGGGTGAAGAGCAGACAGCAGCACGGATGGAAACCACAGGCCAGAGGGAAATGGGGATTAAAAGCTCGTCCAGCTAAGCTGTCATCCCGCCGGATTAAAACAGAAACTAAGTCAAAACTGGTCTGGAGCTCCGTTGGGCACCGTGACCAGCGTCCAGCAGCAGCAGCTCAGTCCAGGAGGCTCGCCCTGACTCTGCGGGGAGGTGGGGGGAGATGGCTCTCGGAGGGAGTGAACGAGTGGCTCAGAGATCAGGCTGTTCTGTTGGCTGCGATGAGTCCAATGCACAGATGAGATGAGGATGAAGGGACCTACCTGTGGCGACAGCGCCGTAGAAACCTCATTATCTTCCGAGCAGCCTGGTCCTGCTTTTTGGTTAGCAAACTGCTCCTGCACAAAAGCCAGAGTATCTGTCACCGTCACGAGAAAGGAAGTGTGGACAGGGGTGCCGGGTTGTAAGGAAACAGTTTGCGTAGCAAACCCAACAGCGGAGCGGGACCTGCTTCAGGGACCCGTGAGGGGTCATGGGGAGCGGGGAGCGGAGAGTGGGTGAGGGTGGGGGGGGGAGGGGGCAGCACTCCCAGCTTGCCGGAAACCAGCGTGACACGGACTGTTGATGTCAGACTGTCCTCCCAGCTCTGCCTGGAGCTCGCTCTGCTGAGAGAGGCGTCACAGGCTCGTGGTCTAAAGGGACCTGCTGCCTCTCTCCCCCTTCGGGCGACTGTTTCCTGAACTCGCTGTCGCCTGTCTCTCCGGCCTCAGACACGCTCCACAGAGCTTCTCCCCCTCCCCCCGGCCTCCCCTGTGGAGACAGCACTCACAATGGCCACCTGGCCTCTGCCCACCTGAGCCTGTGCCCACCTGACCTGCACCCACCTGACCTCTGCCCACCTGACCTCTGCCCACCTGAGCCTGTGCCCACCTGAGCTTCTGCCCACCTGACCTGTGCCCATCTGAACCTCTGCCCACCTGAGCCTGTGCCCACCTGAGCCTGTTCTCACCTGAGCTTCTGCCCACCTGACCTGCACCCACATGAACCTCTGCCCACCTGGCCTCTGCCCACCTGAGCCTGTGCCCACCTGAGCCTCTGCCCACCTGACCTGTGCCCACCTGACCTCTGTCCACCTGACCTCTGCCCACCTGGCCTCTGTCCACCTAAGCCTCTGCCCACCTGACCTGTGCCCACCTGACCTGTGCCCACCTGGCCTCTGCCCACCTGACCTGTGCCCACCTGACCTGTGCCCACCTGACCTGTGCCCACCTGACCTCTGTCCACCTGACCTGTGCCCACCTGAGCCTCTGCCCTGAGCCTCTGCCCACCGGGCCTGCACCCACCTGAGCTTCTGCTGCACGATGACCGCGGTCCGGCGCGCCGGCCGCCGCTGGCCGCACCTCCGGTAGCTGCGGTAGAACTTCTGGATGAGCACGGCCGCGCGCCGGCTCTGCTGGAACTTCTTCTGCTCGTAGTAGCTGCGGAACTTGCTCTGGATCAGGATGGCGGCCTGGGTCATCTTCTTATACAGCGCGTACTGCGGGGACAGGGACAGCGTGACCGCACTGCGGAGACAGGGACAGCGTGACCGCACTGCGGAGACAGGGACAGCGTGACCGCACTGCGGGGACAGGGACAGCGTGACCGCACTGCGGGGACAGGGCAGAGGTGACCGCACTGCGGGGACAGGGACAGCGTGACCGCACTGCGGGGACAGGGACAGCGTGACCGCACTGCGGGGACAGGGCAGAGGTGACCGCACTGCGGGGACAGGGACAGCGTGACCGCACTGCGGAGACAGGGACAGCGTGACCGCACTGCGGGGACAGGGCAGAGGTGACCGCACTGCGGAGACAGGGCAGAGGTGACCGCACTGCGGAGACAGGGCAGAGGTGACCGCACTGCGGAGACAGGGACAGCGTGACCGCACTGCGGAGACAGGGACAGCGTGACCGCACTGCGGGGACAGGGCAGAGGTGACCGCACTGCGGAGACAGGGCAGAGGTGACCGCACTGCGGAGACAGGGACAGCGTGACCGCACTGCGGAGACAGGGACAGCGTGACCGCACTGCGGGGACAGGGACAGCGTGACCGCACTGCGGGGACAGGGACAGCGTGACCGCACTGCGGAGACAGGGACAGCGTGACCGCACTGCGGAGACAGGGACAGCGTGACCGCACTGCGGGGACAGGGACAGCGTGACCGCACTGCGGGGACAGGGCAGAGGTGACCGCACTGCGGGGACAGGGACAGCGTGACCGCACTGCGGGGACAGGGACAGCGTGACCGCACTGCGGGGACAGGGCAGAGGTGACCGCACTGCGGGGACAGGGACAGCGTGACCGCACTGCGGAGACAGGGACAGCGTGACCGCACTGCGGGGACAGGGCAGAGGTGACCGCACTGCGGGGACAGGGCAGAGGTGACCGCACTGCGGGGACAGGGCAGAGGTGACCGCACTGCGGGGACAGGGCAGAGGTGACCGCACTGCGGGGACAGGGACAGCGTGACCGCACTGCGGAGACAGGGCAGAGGTGACCGCACTGCGGGGACAGGGCAGAGGTGACCGCACTGCGGGGACAGGGCAGAGGTGACCGCACTGCGGGGACAGGGCAGAGGTGACCGCACTGCGGGGACAGGGACAGCGTGACCGCACTGCGGGGACAGGGACAGCGTGACCGCACTGCGGGGACAGGGACAGCGTGACCGCACTGCGGAGACAGGGCAGAGGTGACCGCACTGCGGAGACAGGGCAGAGGTGACCGCACTGCGGGGACAGGGCAGAGGTGACCGCACTGCGGAGACAGGGACAGCGTGACCGCACTGCGGGGACAGGGACAGCGTGACCGCACTGCGGAGACAGGGCAGAGGTGACCGCACTGCGGAGACAGGGACAGCGTGACCGCACTGCGGAGACAGGGCAGAGGTGACCGCACTGCGGAGACAGGGACAGCGTGACCGCACTGCGGAGACAGGGCAGAGGTGACCGCACTGCGGAGACAGGGACAGCGTGACCGCACTGCGGAGACAGGGACAGCGTGACCGCACTGCGGGGACAGGGACAGCGTGACCGCACTGCGGAGACAGGGCAGAGGTGACCGCACTGCGGAGACAGGGACAGCGTGACCGCACTGCGGGGACAGGGACAGCGTGACCGCACTGCGGAGACAGGGCAGAGGTGACCGCACTGCGGAGACAGGGACAGCGTGACCGCACTGCGGGGACAGGGACAGCGTGACCGCACTGCGGAGACAGGGACAGCGTGACCGCACTGCGGAGACAGGGACAGCGTGACCGCACTGCGGGGACAGGGACAGCGTGACCGCACTGCGGAGACAGGGACAGCGTGACCGCACTGCGGAGACAGGGCAGAGGTGACCGCACTGCGGAGACAGGGCAGAGGTGACCGCACTGCGGAGACAGGGACAGCGTGACCGCACTGCGGAGACAGGGACAGCGTGACCGCACTGCGGGGACAGGGACAGCGTGACCGCACTGCGGAGACAGGGCAGAGGTGACCGCACTGCGGGGACAGGGCAGAGGTGACCGCACTGCGGAGACAGGGCAGAGGTGACCGCACTGCGGAGACAGGGCAGAGGTGACCGCACTGCGGAGACAGGGCAGAGGTGACCGCACTGCGGAGACAGGGACAGCGTGACCGCACTGCGGAGACAGGGCAGAGGTGACCGCACTGCGGAGACAGGGACAGCGTGACCGCACTGCGGAGACAGGGACAGCGTGACCGCACTGCGGAGACAGGGACAGTGTGACCGCACTGCGGAGACAGGGACAGCGTGACCGCACTGCGGAGACAGGGCAGAGGTGACCGCACTGCGGAGACAGGGACAGCGTGACCGCACTGCGGAGACAGGGCAGAGGTGACCGCACTGCGGAGACAGGGACAGCGTGACCGCACTGCGGAGACAGGGACAGCGTGACCGCACTGCGGGGACAGGGACAGCGTGACCGCACTGCGGAGACAGGGCAGAGGTGACCGCACTGCGGAGACAGGGACAGCGTGACCGCACTGCGGGGACAGGGACAGCGTGACCGCACTGCGGAGACAGGGACAGCGTGACCGCACTGCGGAGACAGGGACAGCGTGACCGCACTGCGGAGACAGGGACAGCGTGACCGCACTGCGGGGACAGGGCAGAGGTGACCGCACTGCGGAGACAGGGACAGCGTGACCGCACTGCGGAGACAGGGACAGCGTGACCGCACTGCGGGGACAGGGACAGCGTGACCGCACTGCGGAGACAGGGCAGAGGTGACCGCACTGCGGGGACAGGGCAGAGGTGACCGCACTGCGGAGACAGGGCAGAGGTGACCGCACTGCGGAGACAGGGCAGAGGTGACCGCACTGCGGAGACAGGGCAGAGGTGACCGCACTGCGGAGACAGGGACAGCGTGACCGCACTGCGGAGACAGGGCAGAGGTGACCGCACTGCGGAGACAGGGACAGCGTGACCGCACTGCGGAGACAGGGCAGAGGTGACCGCACTGCGGAGACAGGGACAGCGTGACCGCACTGCGGAGACAGGGACAGCGTGACCGCACTGCGGAGACAGGGACAGCGTGACCGCACTGCGGAGACAGGGACAGTGTGACCGCACTGCGGAGACAGGGACAGCGTGACCGCACTGCGGAGACAGGGCAGAGGTGACCGCACTGCGGAGACAGGGACAGCGTGACCGCACTGCGGAGACAGGGCAGAGGTGACCGCACTGCGGAGACAGGGACAGCGTGACCGCACTGCGGAGACAGGGACAGCGTGACCGCACTGCGGGGACAGGGACAGCGTGACCGCACTGCGGAGACAGGGCAGAGGTGACCGCACTGCGGAGACAGGGACAGCGTGACCGCACTGCGGAGACAGGGACAGCGTGACCGCACTGCGGAGACAGGGCAGAGGTGACCGCACTGCGGAGACAGGGCAGAGGTGACCGCACTGCGGGGACAGGGACAGCGTGACCGCACTGCGGAGACAGGGCAGAGGTGACCGCACTGCGGAGACAGGGCAGAGGTGACCGCACTGCGGAGACAGGGACAGCGTGACCGCACTGCGGAGACAGGGACAGCGTGACCGCACTGCGGAGACAGGGACAGCGTGACCGCACTGCGGAGACAGGGACAGCGTGACCGCACTGCGGGGACAGGGCAGAGGTGACCGCACTGCGGAGACAGGGCAGAGGTGACCGCACTGCGGAGACAGGGCAGAGGTGACCGCACTGCGGGGACAGGGCAGAGGTGACCGCACTGCGGAGACAGGGACAGCGTGACCGCACTGCGGAGACAGGGACAGCGTGACCGCACTGCGGGGACAGGGCAGAGGTGACCGCACTGCGGAGACAGGGACAGCGTGACCGCACTGCGGAGACAGGGCAGAGGTGACCGCACTGCGGAGACAGGGACAGCGTGACCGCACTGCGGGGACAGGGACAGCGTGACCGCACTGCGGAGACAGGGCAGAGGTGACCGCACTGCGGAGACAGGGACAGCGTGACCGCACTGCGGAGACAGGGACAGCGTGACCGCACTGCGGGGACAGGGACAGCGTGACCGCACTGCGGAGACAGGGCAGAGGTGACCGCACTGCGGAGACAGGGACAGCGTGACCGCACTGCGGAGACAGGGACAGCGTGACCGCACTGCGGAGACAGGGCAGAGGTGACCGCACTGCGGAGACAGGGCAGAGGTGACCGCACTGCGGGGACAGGGACAGCGTGACCGCACTGCGGAGACAGGGACAGCGTGACCGCACTGCGGAGACAGGGCAGAGGTGACCGCACTGCGGAGACAGGGCAGAGGTGACCGCACTGCGGAGACAGGGCAGAGGTGACCGCACTGCGGAGACAGGGACAGCGTGACCGCACTGCGGAGACAGGGACAGCGTGACCGCACTGCGGAGACAGGGACAGCGTGACCGCACTGCGGAGACAGGGACAGCGTGACCGCACTGCGGAGACAGGGACAGCGTGACCGCACTGCGGAGACAGGGCAGAGGTGACCGCACTGCAGAGACAGGGACAGCGTGACCGCACTGCGGAGACAGGGCAGAGGTGACCGCACTGCGGAGACAGGGACAGCGTGACCGCACTGCGGAGACAGGGACAGCGTGACCGCACTGCGGAGACAGGGCAGAGGTGACCGCACTGCGGGGACAGGGACAGCGTGACCGCACTGCGGAGACAGGGCAGAGGTGACCGCACTGCGGAGACAGGGCAGAGGTGACCGCACTGCGGAGACAGGGCAGAGGTGACCGCACTGCGGAGACAGGGACAGCGTGACCGCACTGCGGAGACAGGGCAGAGGTGACCGCACTGCGGAGACAGGGCAGAGGTGACCGCACTGCGGAGACAGGGCAGAGGTGACTGCACTGCGGAGACAGGGCAGAGGTGACCGCACTGCGGGGACAGGGACAGCGTGACCGCACTGCGGAGACAGGGCAGAGGTGACCGCACTGCGGAGACAGGGACAGCGTGACCGCACTGCGGAGACAGGGCAGAGGTGACCGCACTGCGGAGACAGGGACAGCGTGACCGCACTGCGGAGACAGGGACAGCGTGACCGCACTGCGGAGACAGGGCAGAGGTGACCGCACTGCGGAGACAGGGCAGAGGTGACCGCACTGCGGAGACAGGGAAGAGGTGACCGCGGAGCACACGGGCCATGCTTGGCTCTCGGTGGGCGGCGGCGGGAAGCCCCTCTCCCCTTGCCATGTTCTCCGTTTCCAGCTGGACCACAAACCAGGCCAGCCAGTTTCTCTCCACCTACTTTTCCCAGACAGAAACTATTATTCTAAGGGACACCCCCAGACGATGTAATGCTTTTTTAAGGTGCTTTGTTGCCCCCAAATTCCAAAATAAATTGCCCTACTTGAAAAGAGCTTTTTTTTATTTTATTAATTTTTCTAAAATTGATTTCAGAGTGGAAGGGAGAGGGGAGAGAGAGAAACATCGATGATGAGAGAGAATCATTGATCACTGCCTCCTGCACGTCCCGCACTAGGGTTGAGCCTGCAACCTGGGCATGTGCCCTTGACCGGGAATCAAACCGTGACCTCCTGGTTCACAGGTTGACACTGAACCACTGAGCCACGCTGGTTGGGCAAAAAAAAAAAAAAAAGAATTCTTAATAGCAATCTACTTAGACCCTGAGCAATCTGAGGAATACACACGGAAAGGAAACGGTCAGTGTTGAGGATGAATCCTTGCTCTCCACACTTGGAACCATTTTGATGCTTCCCAGTCCCCTCACTGCCAGCCCATCAGCACACTCCCGAGTTCCAAGGTCCCAAACACAAGGCTTATCATGAAACGCTGACACCTCCGAGCCACTCTGACCTGCAGGAGACGAGCACGCAGGGGCCCACGCCAGGCCGAGCCCAGGAAGCCGCTGTCACCGGGCCCCCTGGGCCAGCTCGGGGCTGGCGGCAGCGCCCGGGGAGGGAGGATCTGAGCCTCTTCCCTCTCAGTGTCCGGGCGCTCAGACTCGGAGCAATCCGTCTGTCAGAATCTACGTCTGTGTCACTCAGGACACAGAATACGACTCAGGGGCCCAGGAAGCACTCGGCTCACAAGCGGGCAACTTACCATCAGAGGGAGAACGTTCAGGACACCCTGCGCCTAGCCTGTCTGCGTGTCTGCGGTGGAATGGAGGGGGGGCCCTCCAGAGCATGCAGGACCCGGGCCCTCCTGCAGGGACCCTCTGGTCTAACCTGACCTGCTTTACACTCCCCTTCGTCCAGGAGTCTTTGAGACCAGGACGCCGGGTCCCTCAGAGCGGCAGGGGCCCACCCTCCCAGCCACAGGCCCGGGGAAACCGGGAAGTTTACTTTGTGGCTCACACGGCCGACTGGGATGGAATCTTCAGATGGACACCAGCCAAACGGCGTCCAGCTATTGACACTGAAGAAGCACGAGGTCCCCGGAGGACAGACGCCCTGCGGTCAGCGGGCCTGGCGGGGCGGGGCGAGGCGGGGTGGGGATGGCTGATTCATGACCCTGCCATCGGAATGGCCCCTTGGTGTCGCTGGTGATGGGAGTGGAGTTTGTGAGTCTGGTGGAATGGTTTGTGAGAGGACTGGGTGTGGCATTACCTTCAAGACTATCCATGTCAGCTTTGGGGGAGAAACAGAGAATACAAGATTAACGTTAGATCGCTCGGCAGAGGGAAGCTGCAAAGCCAGAACCAATGAGACTCCCACCACCATCGCTACCGACAGGAGGGCGAGCTGGCTGGGCGCATGCCTTCCTCCATCCAAAGACTCGCCTCCTCTGGGTCGGTGTTTCAGTCAAGAACGCCTTCCTGCCCTGACCAGTTTGGCTCAGTGGGTGGAGCGTCGGCCTGCGGACTGAGGGGTCCTGGGTTCGATTCCGGTCAAGGGCATGTGCCTTGGTTGCGGGCACATCCCCAGTGGGGAGAGTGCAGGAGGCAGCTGATGGATGTTTCTCTCTCATTGATGTTTCTAACTATCCCTCTCCCTTCCTCTCTGTGAAAAACCAATAAAATATATTTTTTAAAAAAAAGAATGCCTTCCGTCCTGCTGGCTGCAGACAACACTTCTTTGGGACGGGGATTGAAAAGAAACACCTAGAATTCCAAGCTCAGACTTGGGAATAAGTCCCTGTTGCCATCACAGGCTTGAAGCTGACTCTCTGGGTGTCTATGGCTTGTGCTGAGGAGAAGCCTGCCCACCAAGGGAAGCTGGCGAGCGGAGCAGCGCCCCCTGCCGCCGGGCTGCGGGAACTGCGGTGTCAGCGTTTACACAATAAACCTTCATTTTCTGGGATCGTGAACTCAACTGGCTAAAGCCGAAGAGGCCCCCTCCCCTTCCCCTAGCAGGCACAGAGCAGAGAGAAACGCGGTAAAATGGCAACCTGCCTCGGACACCAAAGCCCAGGTCGTATTGAGGGAACGTAATCTCAAATTTCTCCGTGGCCATGATACCCCTCAGCATCCAACAGCCCCCCAGCAAATATGTTAAACCCACATGATCAGAAAGTACAACCCGATCGAAGGTTCCAGAATCTCCCGACAGGACTGAGCTTGAGCAGATGAGCCACTCAGAGCTCCATTGGGCAACGCTTTCTATTTTCTAACCCCTCGGGATAGGTACAAAGATGTAATATTTTCTCGTGTCTGGAAGACGGACATAAAGTTGTTTCCTCTAAATGACGGTAAGGAGCGGATGAGACGATGTCCCTCGGAGGAGCTCTCCGAGTCGGCCCCCCTTCCCTCCCCTCTGGCGGGTTGTCCCCGCCACAGCCCCGGGGCGGGAAAGAGCACGCGGCTGCCCTTCCTGCATCCCTTCGCTGAGCACCACAAACACACTTCACGGCTCTCAGAGATGTTTGTGATTCTTCACCACAGAACGGAGAAGCAGCGGCTGAAGGGAGAAGCGGCTGAGGATGATGTCATGTAGACAGTTCAAGGTCAAGGGTGACAGCCAGCACTGACCTCCAGCCGCCAGTCAACTCCGTGAAGCCCTTAAATCACCATGGGGCCTATGGGTGAAATTATGGCAACACAGACCCTCACAGGTCAGTACACCAAAGGCCAAAAACAGGAACAAAAGTTGCTGTTGGTGCCGTTTTCCTCTTTCCCTGTGTCTGGCACACGTCCTCCTGCTTTTAACCAAGAGGCAGCCCTCGCCCCGGGCTGGCCTGCTGCCCTTGGGCAGCCCCCAGGAGCGTCCTCGGCTCAGTCCCAGGGCCCTGCAGGTGGTTACCTGTTTGTACTTCCGGTAGCAGCGCTGGATGACGGCAGCAGCCACTTCCTGCTGTTCTCGCAAGGGTCGGCCCTGTGGGGGCGGGGGGAGGGGGGAGAGGAAAAAATAAAACGTGATTCTGTATGAGAAATGTCAGCCTTCCTGTGGTGTAAAGAGAAGCATCACTCACTTCATTAACTTTCTCAGAACCAAGGCCCCCAGGTTTACCAAAATACAGTGCAGTGAGAAGTATACATTTAAAAAATAAATAAATGTACAGAATAAATCTCCAACTATTCTTGCTTCTAAATAGAGCTATCCTATCTGGGTGTCAGCTGACCTAAAAATATATTCGTTTTTGCCCGGCCGGTGTGGCTCAGTTGGTTGAGCGCTGTCTCATGCACCAAGAGGTCACGGGTTCGATTCCCTATAGGGCATATGCTGGGTTGTGGGCTCCATCCAAGTAGGGGGCATGCAGGAGGCAGCCGATAGATGTTTCTCTCTCTCTCCCCCCTCTCTAACATCAATGAAACCATATTTTAAAAACATTTTTATATTCAAAGTAACCAATCAGATAAGGTGCCATTTGTCCAGGGCTCCACCCGTGTCCTCCGAGACCCCAGGCCTGCACGTACAGATGCTTCACCATAACATTTTAGGGGTTCCTGGGCTGCCCGAGGCCAGGTCCCCGGCCTCCAGTTAGAAGCCCCAGCCTTATGCCATGAATTCCTTGTGGCTGAGCCGTCAACTTCCTTGATATCAACTAAATGGCAAGTGTCCGTTTCATGACCCACAACGTATCGCGATGACGACAACCATCGCCCTACTGGTCAAACTGATGTCACTTAAGCTTCTGAAGATTATTAATAATCCCCAGTGACATGAATTAGTAATTCCAAGTAAGAACCTACAAACTCCGAGGGAAGAAAGAAACGGTCATGTGGACCTGGCTGGTTTGGCTCAGTGGATAGAGCATCGGCCTGCGGACTGAAGGGTCCAAGGTTGGATTTTGGTCCAGGGCACATGCCTGGGCTGCAGGTTCAATCCCCAGGAGGGGATGTGCAGAGGCAGCCAATCAATGATTCTCTTTCATCATGGATGTTTCTATCTTCCTTCTCCCTCTTACTTCCGCTCTGAAATCAGTAACATAAAAAAAAAAAAGGAAAAGGAACGACTGGGGTGTCGGCGGTCCCTCCGGGGCCCTGAGGAGGAGGGGTCAGGACTCGGCCCTGTACCTTGTACTTCCGGAAGGCCGTCTGCACCAGCCTGGCGGCCTCGTAGAGCTCGCGCTGCTCGTGGTCGGACAGGGTGAGCTGCGCGAACTCGTTCTCCACCTTCTCGCTGCCGGACGCGCTCAGGAACTCCGACCAGTCGGCCGCCGAGGGCAGGCCGGGCCGCTCGAAGGCCGTGTCGCTGGCTGGAGAGCCGCCGGGGCTCAGGCTGGTGTGGGAGGCGGGGGTCAGAGGCTCGCCATACGCGCTTCTGGAACGAGAGGGGGTGCGGGGGAGGCGTGACCCATCGGTACGACCCAAGGCACCCGGATGTGAGACAGGCAGACGCGAGCCACCGGGGCCAAGGGGGCTGCAGGAAAGTGCTTTCATTCCAGCGCCCAACACCCCGACTTTGACGGTCCTTCCGTCAAAAAGTTCACCCGGGACCCTGCCACGTGTTCAGCACGAGGCTGAACCCTAAACCCACTGAGAACCCTGCCCGTGGGACCCAGGGGGAACCTGTGACACGCCATCTCACGGGCTCTGATGTGGGAGAAACATGATGGGAGCAGAAGGGCCTGAGCCCTAAGCTGCCTCACTTAAAAAACAGGATCTTCATTGTTGACGGTATCACAGATGTCCCTCCTCTTCCCCATGTGCCTTCCCCCTGCACGCCCAGGCCTGCCCTGCATGATCGTCCGTGTCCGTGGGTCTGTGTATCTGCACTAAGCGCTTTGGTTAACCTCTTCTCCCCACCCCTCTCCTGAGATGTGGCGGCCTGCCCCATGCTCTGTGTCTCGGGATCTATTCTGCTCAGGTTTGTTTTGTTCGTTAGGCTAGTCTTTCTCTGGGTGTCGATGCACCCCAGCCTTGTATGCACACATCTGCCGACGGGCAGCTCCCTCCCTCCCTTAGTGGGCTCTAACCGCCCAGCATCCTCAAACCCGCTCGCCTCCCAGCCCCCGGGAGACCCGGAACGTCAGACGCGGCGTCGGACCTGATGTGGGCAGCGCTGGGCAGGTGCTCCACGTCGGCCAGGTAGCTGGCCAGCCAGCTCATGGTGCTGCTGACGGTGGCCGCCTCTGCCCGCTCCAGGGCCGCGGGTTCCACGGGCTCGAAGGTCTCCTGCTTGATGCGCTCGGGTGTGGCCTCGATGATGTGCTCCGCCAGCGTCATCATGTTCACCTGGAGGAGAGGCAGGGCGTCAGGGACTTGGAGCCCGCTGCCCGCCCGCCTTGGAGAGAGAGGACGCAGGGAACAGCTTGCCCTCCACCCCATCTACTCCAGCATCACCGTTAAGCTTAACACCATTCCCCCAATTACCTCCCAGTCCTATTTTTAAAGTATATTTTTATTGATTTCAGAGAGGAAGGGAGAAAGGAGAGAGAAACATCAGTGATGAGAATCAATGATCGGCTGCCTCCTGCACACCTCCTTCTGGGGATCAAGCCTGCAACCCAGGCCTGTGCCCTTACTGGGAATCGAACCGTGACCTCCTGGTACATAGATAAACACTCAACTACTGAGCCACACAAGCCGGGCCCTCCAACTTCTATTCTGGCTAAAACCTTAGTCAAGTCTTACGGCATCCTGGCTGGTGCTGCTTGCTCCTCTCAGCTGGGGCCACCCTCGTAGTGGCACTGACTGGGCAGTTCTCCAGCACGTTGTATGAATGAGGTGACACCAGTGGTTACCTAATCAATACCCACCCCCGCTGCCTGGGGAAAAAGGAAAATGAAGGCAGGACCTACTTCCTATAGGGGAAAATACCCCAGCTTTCCCTCCCCTTTGATATTGGCTCTTGATTTGAGGAAGAAGGTCCTGCCTTGATTTTCTTTTTCCTACCAGGGAGGAATTCATGTATTTTATTCAAAGCAAAGGGGGATTTCTGGAGACTAAGGAACGTGAGCCGCCACCATCGCACCCCCCAAACCCTCCGTCCGTAACCATGTGGCAGTGTGAGCACAGCTCAGGCCCTCAGTGAGCTTCAAACGCCACAGAGCTGACTTCTTATTGCTGCAAAAAGGCAGTGCATTTAGATGACTTTAAACCAAGCCACAAGCCCAGCCGTTGGACTTGAAAAACATCTCGACGTTCATTTCTAAACTTCCCGGCTTGTGGGCAGAGAAGGTAAAGACAGCCTGTGTGTGTGCAGCTTCGGGTTTTTATTTAAATTCTCTCCGTGTCCTGGTGTCCGAGCAACGTTCAAGATGTGTCTTGAATCTCTAAAAGAAACAACTGTGGGCATTTGCTCTGTGTCCGAATTCCATGCATCTGCATCAACACGTGTCACCTATAAACACTCCGGTGAGCCGAGCTTTCCAATGTACGGTTCAGTCTGAGACGGGGTTAGTCTCCCACCGCGATGAAGGCGGTGGTTCCACATCTGTGCTTACGAGCTTTTGCGTTCACTTTTAAAGCTGTGCGGTTAGGGACACAATGGTTCACAGAACTGCACTGATAACATATAAATTACATGTACCTAATCATACTATTCACTTGAAATGTACTGTTTGTCTCTTTTTTCTTTTAACCCATATTTGTCTGTTGTATCTCTTCCCATCACTTTGTTTTCTTGTTTCATTTCATTCTAGTTGTGTCTTGTACAAGCAGCATAGAGTATTTTGCTTTTTTTTTTTTTAACTTTTACTCAATCTGAGCACCTTTTCTTTCTTTTTTAATAAATATATTTTTCTGATTTTTTTTTTTACAGAGGGAGGGAGAGGGATATAGAGTCAGAAACATCGATGAGAGAGAAACGTTGATCAGCTGCCTCCTGCACACCCCCTACTGGGAATGTGCCCGTAATCAAGGTACATGTCCTTGACTGGATTTGAACCTGGGACCTTTCAGTCCGCAGGCCGACGCTCTATCCACTGAGCCAAACTGGTCAGGGCTGAGCACCTTTTCATTACAGAATCATCAGTTACCACATAGGAATGAATCACGTGTAAAAACATTCCCGTTCTGTTTTCCATTTATTATTTCTGTGGCCGCCCTTTACTTTGCTGCCACTCCTAAATTTCCCTCCGACGGGGCAGGCGTGTTTCCTCCCGCAGAGATGCAGGTTTCTGTGCTGCCCACGAGCCTGGCATCTGACAAGCACGTCTCAGCCACACGGAGCCGCTGCCGTCAGCCGAGGAACCCAGCCCAGCAGCTCCTAGACAGGAGGCCGCTTTACCACGTTCCCTCCTCCCCTTCCCTACCCCCGGGTTTGGTAATACACTAATTCAGAATTTTAGTTCCGGATTTTTAAAAACAAGATTCCTTTCCCATGTAGGAGCCCCCTCTTAACAACTGCCTCACTCCCCACCACACTACTGATGACCACGCAGGCGGATCACTTATTATTTCATTGTTCACTCCTCCGCGGACTCTGGCTTGTCATTTCCTATGTTGTTTCATCATCATCATTATTTTTAAAATATATTTTATTGATTTTTTTTACAGAGAGGAAGAGAGAGGGATAGAGAGTCAGAAACATCAATGAGAGAATCATCGATCAGCTGCCTCCTGCACCCCTCCCCCTCTCCCCCCTCACTGGGGATGTGCCTGCAACCAAGGTACATGCCCTTGACCGGAACCGAACCTGGGACCTTTCAGTCCGCAGGCCGACGCTCTATCCACTGAGCCACACCGGTTTTGGCTCATCATTATTATATTATTATTACTTAATCCTCACCTGAGAGCATGCTTTCTGCTTTTAGAGAGAAGGGGAGGGAGAGAGGTAGAAAGAGAGGGAGAGAGAGAGAAACATCAACCGGATGCCTCCTGTACGTGCCTTGACAGGGGATTGAACCTCCTGAAACCTGGGCATGTGTCCTGACATGGAATCAAACCCGTGACACTTTGGTGTACAGGACGACACTCAACCAACTGAGCTACCTGGCCAGGGCTTTCATTACTTTTCATTCCTATTGTTTCACTGGCTGAATTGCTTCCTTAGAGGCTGCTTTTCCCACAGATACGGACTCAACGTAGCAACATATTCTCTCCAGCTCAGGTAAAATACCAAGGGGATCCTTAAAGGTTACCTTCTATTCCAGCATCAACGCCGCGTCTGGGAAGCTGGGGCTCTAAGCAGCGCCAGCCGAGGGATATTTAAACAAATAAAAACTCAGCCCCTGAGTCTCACCAGCCCTGCGGCACAGGCTCAGCGTCACTCGCTGGGCGGTGCACACACGTTTCCATTGGAACGTTCTAGATTCTCCACTCAGTTCCCCTCTTTTGAGCTACTGATCTTCACTGTCTGGTGATTTATTATTAAATGTCTGTGAATATTGCCGAAACTGGTTTGGCTCAGTGGATAGAGCGTCAGCCTGCGGACTGAAAGGTCCCAAGTTCGATTCCGTCCAAGGTACAAGGGCATGTACCTTGGTTGTGGGCATCTCCCCAGTGAGGGATGTTCAGATCACACAGTGGAGGGAGGAGGCGGGGTACAGGAGGCAGCAGATTGATGTTTCTAACTCTCTATCCCCAGTAGGAGGTGTGCAAGAGGCAGCTGATAAATGATTCTCTCTCATTGATATTTCTAACTCTCTATCCCTCTCTCTTCCTCTGTAAAAAATCAATAAAAATATATTTTTTAAAAATGTCTGTGAATATTGTCCTAGGCAACTTAATATTGGTGTCTGACACAGAGAGAGAGTGGAAGGAAGGGGGAAGATACTTTCCCATAGAAAAGCATCCCTGGGTGAGAACGAAAGACAACAACAAGGAGACCTGGGCGGCCTGGACCCCCAGCCCGGCAGGCTCCCCCGGAGCACACTCACCTGCACGTCGTCCATGGGCTGCGGGCCGTCCTCGGCCTCGGCGCTGTCCCGGTAGGGCCCCGGCTCCGCGTGCGGCACCTCTCGGCTAGCCATCATCAGCACGCTCATGGGCTCCCGTGGTCGCACCTGTGCAGGTGCTGCCTCCTTTCCTACACTGGTCCCCTTCGGGCTGCCCGTCGCCTGCACTGTGGACACACCAATGGAAACATCTTTGGGACTCCACCTCACGACGGGCTGGGGCTGGGCCGCCGCGGCTCGGGGTCCCGCCGGCTCCGGGGAGGGAGGGGAGGGCGCCCGGCTGCAGGCCCTCGCGCCTCCCCTGGGGCTGAGGGTCTCGGGGGCGGCCTGCTTAGAACTAGGGCTCTGCTTCCTGATCCTGGGCTGCTCCAGGCTCAGTGCAGTGGACAGCAGCTCCTCCTGCCTCGCCTGGAAGGACTCGGGGTTCAATTTATGCTTTTTGGGAGCTGGATAATCTTTGTGGCTCTCACTGCTGTAGTAATTAGAGGGTTCAGACCGAGGTCTTCTCAGCTCTGAAAAGCACAGTAGAAAGGACAGTCAGGACAGGCGATCAGATCAGGAGCCCTAACGATCTAAGGCGCTCTCTTGGCCCGGGAGACACCCAGGGCAAAGCGGGCCTCCGGACACGCCCCTGCCATGTAAACGCCCCCCCCGAAGCATCTAGCCGAGTCAGGGCCTCCTCCTCCATCACCTGCAGTTCTTTCTTGCACAGACCTGATTTTCCCCCCCTACTTTCTGGATTTAGGGGGGTAGGGAGCTAGGGGAGTCACCCTAGGCATTCTTATAACTAAAAGGAACATCAGAGATATAAACACCCCACACCCATCGTGTCTGAGCACCCTAAGGACTCCTCTGAGGGCCGGCACCCGGGGACTCGGCACGTCGGAGGTGTGGTGACGCCGAGCTCTTACCGGGATTGGTGCTTGCGATGACGGTGACGGCTTTGGGGATCTCGGGGGAGGCCATGGCCTCGCCGTGCCATTGGGCCATCCAGCCGTCCGCGTGGGGCTCTTCGCTCGGGGGACAGTGGATTCGGGGGCTCTGTCCCAGCGGAGCCTGCTCCCCTCTCTGTAGGTGCTCGAGACACTCGGCCAACTTCACATGACCCCGCGACCGGGCGATGCCCAGAGGCAGCCTCCCCAGGGAGTCGGGGATGGAGATGGCCCGCCGGTCCCACTTGTACAGCACGACGGCGGCCTCCAGGTGCCCGAGGGCGCACGCCCACATCTGGAGGACGGAGACAGAGGGCAGTCTCAGTGGCGTGTCCCACAGTTCGGAACGATGTCCCGTGTCCGTGAGGGACCACCCGGGGCCCGGCCCGTGCCCACCCCTCTGCCAGCATGGAGGAGCGGCGTGGGGAGCAGTGAGTCCTCTTACCAGGGGGGTGCAGGAGAAGTGGTCCACGTTCAAGGGGTCCACCTCCAGCTCCAGGTCGATGCTGTCCGCGTGCTTTGTGCTGCAGAGGGAGGGTCCAGCAGTGACGAGTCAGTGAGTCCACGGAACAGGAGCCCCCCCGACACGCGCAAACCCCCACAGCGCGAAACCAAATGGAGCCTCTGACTCCCTCCCTCCATGTGCAGTGGACTCTGGGCTTCATGGGGGGAGGGGCAGGGGAGTGCGGAGTCTCTCTCCCCTTGGCTAGGCCCCCAGAGGAAGGAAAAGGCCCAATGCCCAGCTGACACCTCACTGGGTATTTCCTGGGCAGAAGCTCATCTAGCTCCCCTGGAAACGGTCTCCAGAGAAGCCCTGGCTCCCAGGCCAGACCGCCCTCCGTGGCCAGACCCCAGTGCCCCAGCGAGCCGCTCAGGGACAGCGCATGGGGAGGGCGCCTGGCTCACCGCCACTTGATGAGGGTCTGGATGAGGGTGGCGTAGCCCTGCGCAGCCGCCAGGTGCAGGAGCGTCATCCCACGGAAGGTCTTCGAGTGGATCAGGTGCTTGGACTTGGCCCAGCAGGCCCGGCTCATCATCTTCTCGCACACGACCACCACGCGGCTCTCGAAGCAGCTGCCCAGTGTGCCGGGGCCCGGGGGGCACTGCGGGGAGAGCGGGGAGAGCCACATGAGGCTCGGGGGCCCTGGCAGGTCCGCACCCAGAGCTTCTCGAAGGCAATGGGGACAGAACCACAGGCTGAGAGGGGAGGGACACCGTGAGGCAGAGAGAGAGGGCGCTCTGCTCGGCCTTCGGCTTGAACCCCCACAGGCCTCATTCCCCGGCAGGGTACAGGTGAGCCTGAGACCAGGCACAGGGTCCGAGGCTCAGGGAGGGAGCACAGGGCCGGGAAGCAGCCCCTCGGACTTCTGCCTCAGCCAGGGACGGACCCAGCACCAGCCAAGGGTCTGTGGCCATGGCCTGCCTCCCCGATCAATGACATGCCACCCCAAACCAAAGACGCCGGGCACCATGGGGGGTTGGGGGTACCTGGGCTTGACTTCCGCCGGTCCCGCTGCTGGCGCCCCCGCCACTGCTGCCTCCTGCGCTCCCCGGCTTGTGCTGCTGGGACCCCGTCATCTCCGCCATCCTCCGCTCCATCTGCTCCAGCCGCTCCAGGATGGACATCCTGAACTGGTTATCTAGGGGACGAGGAAGACGGAGGTTGGTGCTGGGATAAGTGACCTGTCCACACCTGCAGGGCTGGAGCCTCTGTCCCTGCACCAGCCCCGGGGGCTCATCCGGCGGGATCTGTCCAGCCTTTGCTCGCCCAGCCCGGCTCGTCCCTCGGTGCAGCGAGTGTGACACAGCACACACGATGGGGCATCTACTGAGACCCCAAGTTCTCAGCTACTGGAACAGAAGAACCCCTTTTTGTCACAGTCCTGCTTTGGGGCTCCTGGCACCCCGTTCCCCAGTGGAAACCTTAAAGGGACCAGGGAGAGGGGCCCTGAGCCAGATGGAACGGGCACAGCTCCGCTTAAAACAGCGAGGAAGGGTCCACAGACATGCATTGTCGGGGTATCGCCTGTTTTACCCAAACACTGGGAAAAGGATTGAAAAAACCCATTTGTTGTTAATCCTCACCAGAAGGTATTCTTTTCCATTGCTTTTCAGATAGGAGGAGACACACACACACACACACACACACACACACACACTGATGCGAGAGACACATCAACCAGTTGCCTCCCACTCACGTCCCGACCAGAGGGTGGGCAGTAAACCCTCATCCGAAGCACGTGGCCCTGACTGGGAACTGAACCCTCGGCCCTTTGGTGCCCGGGCTGACCTCCAACAAGGAGCCAGGGTGGGAAAATGTTGTGAGAATTGAACAAGTTAATACACGCGCAGGCTCAGGACACGGTAAGTCCCAGGTAAGCGTGCCGTCTGTCCGCATCTTCAGACACGTGACCTAAACGTCCCTGGACACTGACAGCCGCTGTGACAACACATTCCCCCTCGCACTGCTCATGGCATAACGGTTTTCAAACACAGCCGCCCGGTTCATGAAAATAAACCGGACAAGCACTACTTTATCGGCATTCCTTGCCATCCTGCCTGTAAACCTGATGCAGGTGGTTAAGGCTTACTGATTCCACTGGAGAGAAAACAATGGGCCGATGCTCCCTCCGTGCCGGTCACTGTTCTGACCGCTAACAAATATGAACAGCGGTCAGGCGAGGGGGGACGGCTGTTATCTTGTTTCTCAGATGGGGAAACCGAGGCTGCGGAGATAAGCACTCTCTCTGGCTCCAGGGCCTGGCGTCACCGCTGAGCGGGCAGCGTGGGAAGGAGTTATGGGAAGAGAAGAGGCTTCTGGGTCCGAGCCAGGAGAACGGACGTTTTCTCACCGTGAAAGGACAGTCCATTTGTTTCCCAGGAGAACTTTCACACCGGATATCGAATGGATTGCACGTTACTCTATCCCAAGAGCAGCAGGAGAGCGAGTTTTCAAGAACGGATTCCCTTCCCAACGAGCTACGTCCAGGAGCAGCATGGAGGGAACGGGCCCTCCTCTCCCAGCGGGGAGGCACGGTTCTGGGGCAGGGTCGCATGGCACACGGACGAGACGTGAGAGCCTGCCGCCTGGCGTCTCCGTGGCTGTCACAGTGGGAAGCAGCCCGTGGGGTGGACTGTCCACAGCCCACATCACGTAGGACCACCCACAGCAAACGCTGGACGACCCCAGAAGTGGCGCCGGAATCCGTCCTTGCGCCAACCCCATACCCCGTTGGGAGACGGGAATGTTGTGGGATCAGGGCTCCTGCGTGCAGAGCTGGTTGAGGACTGAGAGTTCCATCTTCCAGGCAGAGCCAAGTCCCAGTGGCGTGGGGTACCCTTAGTGCACCTGTACGGACCGTCCCTTATTCCCACGGTGCCAGCCACACCACCACGCCTCTCTGAACCCCGTGCAGAAGCTTCACGCTCCAGTGACACGGTCAGGTCTCGGTCCCCACCCAGCTGCCCACAGACGCTGCGTCTATTGAAGGAGCGCTGTGAGCACATGTGCACGTGTTCGGAGCTGGTGGCCAAGACGAGCCATCAGGAAAGGGGCAGAAGGCACGGGAAGGCTGCCCAGCTGTGGTCCGTCCGAGGGCCACCTCTCATCCATCCCAGTGGCTAGCCTGTCATCGCCCCTCCCCCGCCGGGTGTGGGCACCACAGAGACAGACGGAGCCCCCCTGACATCACGGGCCCAGGCCCTGCCCATGGTATCGCCCGTCACAGCGTCCGACAGTCACCCCGACGGCGACTCGGTGCCTCGGTGTCTGCCTTGGACAGATGGACCGACATCCCCGGCTTCTGCCCTGGGGCTCGTGTTCCCGGCCATGTCCCAGCTCACTCTGCAGGGAGCTCTCGGAGGCGATGGAGCTGCTCTCAGAAGCTGCTTGAAAATCACCTGCCTCTTAACCAAGTTGTATCGGCATGAAGGCACCTCGGGGCCTCCACACTCCAAAGGTGGGGGGAGAGGAGGGGACGGGGCGTGATGAGTCAGGCCAGAAGCCATCTGGCCCGGAAACAAAGGAGCGAGAGAAACATCAATGATGAGAATCATGGGTCGGCTGTCTCCTGCACGCCCCACACTGGGGATGGAGCCTGCAACCCAGGCCTGTGCCCTGACCGGGAATCGAACTGTGACCTCCTGGTTCCTAGTTGGATGTTCAGCCACTGAGCCACACAGGCCAGAAGCAGCATTTTTAGACTGGTCAGCTCTGAGAGAGGGTGGGAAAAACACTGGAGTGGAGCTAGAGCTCTGGGTTTTATCCGTGCGACTTAGGAAAAATAATGGCCACTCTGTACCTCAACTTCCCCATCTGGAAAATGGGGACAGTACTATCTTTTTTATTGCTGTTTGTGAAGATGAAATAAACCACTGTGTGAAATCTCTTTGGCGGTGTCTCTGCAGTCTGAGTTATTGTGAGCCACACCTGTGGGGCATTTAGAAAAAGAGTTTACAGCTGTTTTGAGTAGCTTCAGCGGCACGGGGAGCTGCAGAAGGCGGAGCTCCCATGAACCTTCACCCAGTTTCCCCCCCCTTTAACACCTTACATAACCTCATGCACTTGTCAAACACATCACTCCTAGTAACCGAGTTATAGGCTCCGATCCGACCGCCCCATGAGGATGAGGCCGAATGTCCTTGTCCTTGTTCTGCTCCGGGACCCAGCCAAGGTCACCCTTCCCGTCTGCTCTGTGGCGGCATCCCGCCAGCCCCTTGTTTTTCCTGACTGACACTTTTGAAGAATGCTGCTCGGGTGCCTGGTAGCTGTCCCTGGATTTCAGTTTGTCTGATGTTTCCTAACGATTAGACGGGAGCCTCGAGTTTCGGGGAGAATGTTGCGAGCTGAAGCGTTCTGCTCATCAGAGCATCGGGAGACGTGGCGAGGCTCTGCAGACCGGGCACCGGCAGAGGCGCTGTCTGCGGGGCTGCTCTGCACGGTTACCCCGTTTCTCCTTCCGTCCCGTCCCTCGGGAGCAGGTCACCGGGTCCAGCTCCTGCTCCGGGGCCGGGAACCCATGTGCCCTGCGAGGGTGGGGAGTGCCCATGGGTTACGTGGGGTCCTCCGAGAACGACATCACAAAGAGCACAACCCCAGGGGGCCCTGGCTGTTGTGGTTCAGTGGGTTGGACCTTCACCCTGTGTGCGGAAGTGCTGCAAGTCTGATTCCCAGAGTACATCCCCAGGTTGCAGGTTCGATCCCTGTTCAGGATTACATACTGGAAGCTACTGGAAGCAACTGATCGGCGTTTCTGTCTCCAATCAGAGGTTTTTGTCTCTCTCTCTCCCTTCCTCTATCTAAAATCAACAAAAACCATACCCTCGGGTGAGGATTAAGTGGTTGAGGTCACAGTTCAATTCCTGGTCGGGACACAAGCCCAGGTTGCAGGCTCGATCCCCAGTGTGGGGAGTGCAGGGGACAGCCGATCCATGATTCTCTCTCATCACTAATGTCTCTCTCTCTCTCTCTCTCTCTCTCCCTCCCTCCCTCCCTTTCTCCCTCTCTCTTCCTCTCAGAAATCAATAAAAAAATAAATATTTTAAAAAGACATTAAAAAACACACAAACACAAACACGCACATGGAGTGCCCCATGAGAGCCGCGCTGTCGGTTCACCTGGCTGCTGGCTGCCGCCTCGGGGCGCAGGTAAGGGAGTTATGTAATCTCTGCCAGTGCGAGACCGGCAGGAAAACCAAGGACACCCCACTTCTTCAGACACACCTGGGCTTGCCCCGCGGGGTCCCTGCCCTTCTCGCACTGACTCCCAAGGCAGACAGGGACCCCGCCTCCCCACACGCCCGCTTTTCCCGGAAACAGCCGTCTGGCACGCATCTTACCGAGCGCCTATAATTAGTCACCACGGTGCTCACTCCGTCGGTCAGGGCAGGCTGCTGTACAAACATGGCGTGGGTGGGTATTGAGTTCAATAAAAGACACGCTTCCCAGGCCCGTCTCCGAGGGCAGGCAGGGCTGGGAGGCCTGCGGGGGCGCACGGGCGGAACTGGCACACGTGGGGCGGGGGCTGCAGCTGAGCCGCCTGCGGCCTGGCTGCCAGGGCAGGAGAAACCTCGCCTTGGCAGGTACATGAATGGAGGAGCAATGACCGAACACCACCTGCTATTTTAAAACCGTTATTTGTGGCTCAGGCGCACATGTGCCCGCCTGTTGCTATGCGGCCAGGAGGGAGAGCCTCTCCCGTTCCCTGCCCAGCTCCTGGCCGCTGGCAGGAGACGCCGGGAGACAGGCCGTGCGACGAAAACTCTCTGGAGATCTGTGACTGCCGCGGAGGGGGGCTCCGCATTGTCCGGGAAGCTCGGGAGGATGGAAAACAAAGGCCCTCAGTTCTTCCCGGAATGAATGGGCCCGGAGGCACGACGCTGCTCCTGCCCGGCCAGCCGCCCGAAATGTCCAAGAGCAGGCGCGGGTGAGGCCGGAGACAGGGCACACGCTGTACCACCGGATTTTCCAAAGCAGCGGCTAAATTTAGCCTCGGACAGAACGGCCATCCTCCACGTCTCCAAGACGCCAACTTCAGGCACTGCCACCGAGGAGCGGACGCCAGCCGTGCTGCTTAGACATCCTTCCCCTGCAGCAATCCGCGTGTTTCTCCTCCTTAGTGCGAGTTCTACGCCTTCAAGAT